CTTGGCCTTGCGCGGATTGTACAAGAACATAACGTTGGCACTCATGGAGCTATTCGCGTCTCGTCAGGATGCCCAGCACGCCATGTGGCCCATCTACACCTCGTACACCATCGCCCCTCGACCAAAGATGTGGAACTCGGTCGCCCTTGGTGGGGGCAACCTGCTCTGTGAATTCAATCCAAGTGCTGCCACAAGCAAGATTCCTGGCCTCTCGTTCAGTTCCGGGGGCTCGTGCGGATTGAACTTGCAGGAATTTATCATCGGGGACACGAAAACAATCATGACGGCTCTCGTCGCTGTCAAGAACGTAAGTGTATCCGCTGTGGCACGTCTTGAATTCAGAAACCCCACCAGCACCCTCGCTGCCCTCGAAGCCTCTGTAGCGTTTCTGCATACCTACTTCGACCCGGCCTTGGCCACGACATTTTATACCCAAGCGCAGATTGTCAAAGCGGTTGTTCGAGATCAACTGCACGTTCAGATGATCCAATTTATCCGCCCAAACCAGACGTTTTCGCTCAGCCAAATGACCCTTTTCGGTGAGACAGAGGTCGATTTTGAAGTGTATGCGTGGCTGTATGCATTTGATTGGGTCCAGGGGGTGCGGGAGGTCGTGTCGTTTCAAGGTGACAACGGTACATTGACGCTGTTGTCCATGGGGACAAACCCGTTGGATGCCCCCGTGAACCCCATGGAAGTGCCATCCAACGTCGCGTACTACCTCCGGTACTTGGTTCAGTACATTACCCTGGTCATGTTTTGTGTGGCCAGCGTCGTGTGCGTCTACATCATCGCGTTGAAAGGGCAAGTTGAAGCGGCAAACATGATGGTGTTTAGCCGCATTGCTGGCCTCGTGTGGATTGGTCGGTGGCTCATCTTCCTTCGTGCCCTTAGTGCAGTTTGCCTCTTGGCCACGTCCACGTTGGTGCTCAAGAGACCACTGGATGGGCTTGTGTCGTACTTTGAATCGGTACAACGGCCTTGGTACATGGTCATACTGGCCGCGGGTGAGCTCAATTGGATGGTGTACATCGTCAATGATGTGTTTTCAGTCGCGACCAAGGCGTTTACGGCCAAATATGCGAATACGAGCTACTTTGTCACGTGGATTGCGTCGGCCGTGTGGGTGTTTGTAGCACCCCCCAGTCAATCGGTAACCCTGGACCGGAATTGCACCGTGGTAACCGTGGACTTTGAGGTCGTGTGCCACAGTGGCGTCGTAGAAATTGGCAGCGTGCGTCACTTTTGCAGCCTGCTTGCGTTGGTGTTTGGGTGCTGCGGCTTGTGCTACGCGGCGGAACGGTGTCGGCATTGGAAACATGGGACGAAACCTCCGCAGCCGCATGCTTCGTTGCTCCTCTATGCAGCCGCCAAGCATCAGTTCTCGTCCACCAACTGGGATCACATGGGCACTCGGTACTTGGACAAGGCCTCTGCCGTCCTCACGGGTATTTTGACCGTAGAAATGCACGGGGCACTGTACGTGTTTGACACCAAGTCGTGGCGGGTGTATGTGATATGGATTCAAGACATGAATGGACAATGTTCACAACCCCCCATGCACCTTCAACATGCACTTCCGTTGGTGGAGTGAGGGGGTGATACGAGCACATTTCACCTCACTCAAAAAGTAACAACTATTAATACTACTTCAGAAGTACTATTAATACAGTGCGATGCAAAAGGTTATAACCACTAGGTTTTTCTTGATTGTTTTTTTGTTGGCTGCGAATTAAATTAAGCTGAAAGTATGTAAAGATTTGTATTTATAAAATACTCATTTCTAGCTTTGAAGCATGTTAAAATTAGAAAATGTCAGTGAGAAATGAAAAAAATTAAGTTTTACCACCGATGCGAAAGGTTATAACCACTCGACAGCAGAAGGGTTGAGACCCCAAAGCAATTGAAATGATACAATGTATTCATGGATTTTAAGCTCCTAGTAGTTAGTCATCATTCCTTTACAGGCCAGAGCCGCGAGACACCCCTATTTCATGCCCAGGATGAGGACTTGGAGGTAGAGAACCTCGAGGCAATATCCGTGATGTGTGATGCCAATCTTGACCTCGTGTTTCGAGATGTACTGCTTACCACCATCATGAAGGCTGTAAATCTGAAAGCCCGAGACGTTTCCAATTGAATCTAGGTCCGGGGATGGCCCGGGTCAGTCAATAACATAGACGTTATGCACTTAAAATGTTCAATTTCAATGTTCGTGGAATGTATTCTGCCATGTTCTTGTTGAAATACAACTTCAGTTCTAAACCAAAGATGCACAGAAGCGAATATGTACTCACTGAGCATGCAACCATTGTGGGGGATTTTCTTAAGGGTCCTCAAGGAGCACAAACGTACTCGTCCCATCAGCCCAAGTGCCCCCCTCCCCCCATGCGATAACTACCGCCGTTCTGACGGCTAAACACTGCCTTCTCATCTCAATTCCTTAAGTTATACTACGTAGTATTAACACTGTGTTAGGCAAGACAAAAAGATTAGCCACCAGAACTGCTGTAGTGTTCTCACGGGAGGAGGGGCACTTGGACTGATGGGACGTCTACGTTTGTGATGGTATAGTATGGTATACTACAGTTAATTGGTTTCTCTATTTCCTGTTAAGTGTCATTTGTTTTCTTTCGTCAATTCGGGTGAAATCCACCACGTGTAACTATTTGGCTAACGAACAACTAACTGCAATTGCTTGAAAAGGTCTAACGTAGAAAACCCATTTAACATGTGAATAAGATCATTGTGCATTGACAGTTTACATTGTGGGCGCGAAAATAGCGCGCTTCTGTGGTTCACTTTGATTGGAACAAAATTCATGCTGATCCGAACCTTTGCACTCCACATCTCTCGTGAAAATTTATATTTTATATCCGATTCAACTTGATTGGAAAAAGTGCGCAACTTGATTGGGAAAAGGTGTAGTATAGTATAGTTAATTGGTTTCTCTATTTCCTGTTAACAGTAAGTGTGATTTGTTTTCTTTCGTCAATTCATTTTTTTCCCATATCCTGGGTGACATCCACCACGTACAGTAGAACTATTAC